GAGCGCCGGGCTCGCTCGGGGAGCGCCGGGCTCGCTCGGGGAGCGCCGGGCTCGCACGGAGAGCGCCGCCGGCCGCGCCCCGCAGGCCCCGCAGCTCCCCGGCAGCTCCCGAGCCCCGCTCGCTCCCGCAGCCGCGCCCGGTCCCTCGGCCGCGGCCCCGCGGAGCTGCAGCGCCCGGCCCCGCCCCGCGGCCCAGCGCTGCCCTCCGCCCCGCCGCCCTCAGCCCCCCGGCCCCGCCGCCGCCCCAGCGGGCCCGGCCCGCCCCGGTGCCCCTCCCTGCCCGCGCCGCGCCCCCCGCGCCGCAGGAGCAGGATACGAAGTAGACGGAGAGGAAGATGAGGGCGCAGCAGTCGATCAGCGAGAAGATGAAGACCACCGACTCCATCCCGCCGCCGCGCCCGCCGCGCCTGGGCCCTCCCGGCCGCCGTAGGCACCGCCCCGCCCGGGCGGGCCCGCGCAGCGCGGCATGCTGGGAAATGGAGTCCGCGCTCAGGCGGGGTGGCGGCCATGCGGTGCCGGCCCGGCCGCGTCTCCGATCCCCGGCTGAAGCAGCGCATCAAGCAGGTACCGCCCGCCCTCCCCGGCACCCCCGGGACCCCCCGGGACCCCCCGGTACCACCGGCAGCAGCAGCCGGCGGGGGGCTCGTGTATCCCGCTGTGGCTGAGGGGCCTTGAGCATCCGGCCCGCACTGTGGCAGGAGAGGACCGAACCACGGCCCTGCCTCTGAGGGTTTTAGAAAGGCCTTAAAAAGGCTTTAGAAAGGTCTATTGGTTTGTTTTATTGATTTTAAATTTCTTTAAAGTTGGGGGTTTTATTCTATCATGCTCCTGCCCTCTTTAGTAGCTCTGGTCTTGAGGCTGGCTGCTGCTGCTTCACATGTGGAATGAATAGGGCAAAAGAGTACTCAAAGTAATTCATATATATATATATATATATATGTATATATGTACCTATTTTGTGTGTCTATGTGTATATATGCGTATGTATATATATATATTTATATGTGTATATGTATACATGTGGTGTGTATATATACACCTATACATCTGCATGTGTAAATGGTGTGTGTATATGTATATATTTGGACCTTAGGAAGAAGTTCACAGAAAGGGTGATCAAACATTGGAATGCGCTGCCCAGGAGGTGGTGGAGTCGCCGTCCCTGGAGGTGTTTAAGGAAGGACTGGACTTGGCACTCAGTGCCGTGGTCTGGTGGACAGGTGGTGATCAGTCAGGGGTTGGACTTGATGGTCCCAGGGGTCTTTTCCAACCTAAATGATCCTGCGGTTCTGTGATACTGGCAAATGCTGTTTGTATTTGGAAATATGCTCGGTGATTTTATTGAACAGCTGAGAAAAGGGCAAAATGGGATTACTTCGCAAATACATGGGACAACAGGGAAAATTGTGATTCCTTCAAGTGCATCTTATCTCATCTTATGATGGTTTATAATGACTTTGTAGCTTGAACACCAGGTTTCTGAGCCTCTGTATAAATGCACTCCACTTCTAATTCCTTAAAATGAGACAGTGGCTGCTTGGTTTAATTCACAAGATCACACTGAGTGTGTCTTGACTATTCCAAAGTGGAAAGCCCAGCTGGGTTTATGGTAGCCTTGATGTTTTGTGCTGAGCAGGAGCTGCCCATAGGTGATCTGAAGTGCAGCAGAATTTTAAAAGCTAAATACGTATTCAGTTTGAGTGTTTTGTATTGAGTTATTAATTTAAATGAGGGTTTGAAATCCTCCTTGCTCTGACATTTGTGATACCGGATCTTTTAGGATGATTCTGTATTTTCTTCCTCTTTTTCAAGAAGGAATCCATCTTTATGGTATCAAAAGTTCTTGCTGCTGATTTGGAGAGTGGGGGAAGAAAGCAAATGGAGTACAGTTGTACATGAAATTTAGTACATTTTCTCACACTTTCATAAATGGGGTTTGAAAATGGGTTGGATTAGCTGCTGTCAGAGCAATAAAAATGTTTGAGAGAGAGAATTCACTTTCTTAACATAGTTCTCTGTAGTGCTCTCTGAAACGTCTTGTAAAGATTAAAGTTGTTCTTATGAGAGTATCCCTGCTGATTCACATAGATGGTTTCATTTTTAGGGTGGGAGATCTAAACCAAAAGGAGGATAACTGAGGGGAACCAGGACAATAAGATGGTGTTGGGTCAGCTCTGTTACTTTTATTTAGCTTTCTTGCTAAATAAAAGTAACAGAGCTGACCCAAGAGAAGTGATCAAATTCCCCAGGTGTAGGATGCTGCCTTTCCCCAGGAAGCAGAGCTGCCCAGTAATCTGTGCTTTAATAAGCATTTCCTATGTCATTGGGGAATACTTTCTGGTGTGTTCCAAGGCGTGAAAAGCTGATTCTGATTTCTAAGGAGGGAAGAATTTAAAATAGGTATATTTGGTAGAGCTGTTCTGGTGAAGTGATTGACAAAGATTTTATTCCCTGCTTAAAATTCTTCATTTCAGTATCTTGCAAGTAGTAAATGTGGGGAGTATGTTGACATTGGAATTCTAGCATCTGATTTGCAGAAAACCTACAGGTGAGCCAAGTTTTGTCTTCTTGTATCCTGTGTTCAAAATGTAGAATATATTAGTCTGTTCCATTACATTCATTATGAAAGTTATAATTTTCTTTTATGATACCTTCATTAGCAGTTGTTGAGGTTGATTGAAACAATGAGATTATTTCCTTCTGTTTATATATTAATGACCCATATTTTATTAATGCATTGGCATTATAAGATCTAGCTGTGGTTTGTGTTTTTTATGGGATGATTTTTTTGTTTGTTTTAAATAAAAAGCTGCAGATTAGTTGCAGCATGTTGGGGTTTACCCCAGTAAGTTTAAAATGTGAGAGAAAATGACACCTCAGTGGAGACATGGGGGAGGAATAGAGGATCCAGTAAGACACTAATTAATACCTTGCCTGGTTGCTCAGCAGGCTGATGACGTTTTTGCCCAGGTAGTTTTTAATAAGAACCTGGGTGGAAGCTTGAGAATCAACTTCCCATGTACCTTTTCCACTAGGAATGACATTATGTTGAAGGAAAAATGATTTGGTGCAATCTGTTTATTTTGGTTTTTTTCAGTGTAGATTATGGACGAAGAAAAAGAAATGCCTTTAGGATACAAGTTGCAAAAGGTAGATTTGTTAATATTGTGTCCAAGATTTCAAATTCTTTGATTGTGCTTTGGCTGTTAATTCTTAACATGGTTGAACTTTTTCTTGCAGTGTTTGAAATAATCAGTAATGAGAAAGAACGTGAAGATTTGGCAGTTTTAGAATCTGAACATGTGGCAAAAAGAGCAAGACAACAAGAAAAAAATGAGTAAGAAGAATTTTTACCACTAGATTAATAATGTCATTGCTATTACTGTTTCTTTAAAGCTTTCTGGGTTTGGTTTATTATATTTTGATTGCTTCGAGGCTGCAGGTGGATCCCATAGGCTTGTGTTCTTCAGAAGTTACCTGTAGTTATTGGAAACTTTTTTGGTGCTGAAGACAAGCAGATATCAAAGGCAATTATGATTTCTCTGATGTGGGGAACATACAGCCCTGAATTAGTGGACAACCTTATGGCTTCCTTGATAGTTTTCCACATAATGCCCTTTGTTTCAGTTCCTTTGTTTTGTTCTTAATCGTTCTTGGGTGTGAGAGATACTGGCCACGTCTGAGAGATGAGACTGCCAGACAGGCTGTTCAGAGTAAATCACCAGTGGGTGTGAGATTGGAATGATTTCCTGACTCCTAACTCTGTCCATAATCTCACGGAGTGCTGTGTTTTCTCTAACCTGGAATAGATATTAAGGATCTTGTGGGGAAGTAGGACACTGTTGTCAGAAGGATTGTTCTGGTTCAGCAGTGATTTGCTCCTATTTTCCTTGGTGAACTGAATCAGAGTGAACTCTACATCACTTATATAGGTCAGTCTTTCAGACAGGTTGGCAAGTTGATCCAACTCATCATACACTTGGAAAAGATGTAAGTTTTAAGTTTTAACTTTTAATGCTAGAAGATTGAAAGCATGGGAGACAGGAATTTCTCCCAGCATTAGGCTGGAGAGAAATTAGGCGTCATATACCATACACCATATACACCATGATTATGGGGAACCACATTGTATAAATCACTTTTGTTTTATTTTACAGGTGTCTCACTTGCATTTCTGCTCTGATAAATTAATAGTTTTTGTCTTCCTTCCCTGTTAAGCACTACTGGAAGTGGCACAGATGACTCTGACTATGATGATTATCCAGAAGATCTAGTAAGTTGTATTTTATTATGATTGTTTGTAGGTGTATAATATATGATTCTATGTTGTGAAATTGCACTTGAAGGGTTTGAAAAGGGAGATAGAGGTAAGGTCTAGTCAGAGTTAGCAATTCCAACTGAGAATCTGTGGAGCTGGAAGAAGGCTTCCTGAAGGAAAAAGAGGAATTTGTGTTGGGGAATCACTTTTGGGAAGGCACACTGAGAACCTGAAGGACTTGGCTATCAAATGGGTGAACTGACATCTCCAACTACTGCCAAAAGAGGTGCCTGCTCATTAACAGGAGTCATTCCAGGGTAGATTGCAAAGGCTGCTACCCCTTCAGCCAACACATGCAGGTTTATATGCAGTCATTTGGTTTGCAGAGGAGTGGGTTGGAAGATGCATTATCTATTTTCTCCAGCAGGGGATAATGCTAAATTATGTTTATTAAATAGTTTCCATTGACCTCTAAATATAAATAATCCTAGTTAAAACCTTGTGTATTTTCTTTACAAATGTGTAAATCTGCAGTCTGCAAATCACATGAACAGTTCCCTGCTGAGCTTATACAAGAAGGGAAATCCTGATTCTGTTCCATCCACTCCAAAAAATGACCCAGTGGAGACCTCTCCTCGTGTGAGAACAGCACCTCACACGAGCAGCCTCGCACCAGAATCCAGAGGTGAAAGACGAATCTCTGATGGTGGCTGGTACATTGATAAAACTCCTGATGGGAAAGACTTCTTCATTGACCTTTCTGAGGATGGAGAAGGAGAGGAGAAGAAAGAGATTTCTGAGGTACTTTGTGTTTCACAAACCCGAGGTGTTCTAAGTAGATGCATAAATAGAATTGGCCCATGTTGTAAATGTAGGTAAACCTGATGGGAAGAGATGAGGATGTCTAACTCAATCAGAAGGATGAATGATTTCTTTATTATAATTATGTTAAAATACATTAATATACTATATAAAGGAAGATACAAAAAACTATAAACTTACTTGTTCTAACTATATCTCTAACTCACAATTGGTGACCCTCTCGCAAGAGTCCAGACACAGGTGGATTGAATTGGCCATGAGGCCCAAACAATCCACCTTGATCCAATCAAGGAACTATTCCAGGTAAACAATTCTCCAAACACATTCCACATGAGAAAAACAAGGAGCAGAAATACAGATAGTTTTCTTTCAATTCTCTCTGTGCACCTTTATGAAAAATCCTGAGAGAGAGAGAAATGTGCTTGCCACAGGCCCATTTCAAGCATGTTTGTACAGAAGGTAGAAAGTCACCAAGTAATGAATTTCTTCCAGATTTTTTTGAGGAAAATGTAATTGTCAGTATCAAAGAGGCCCAGATTAGTGTCCATACTGAGAGAAAGATGAGTAGAACATAGCTGTTATTTATCGCATTTGCCGGTGACCACTACCTGGGCTGTGGCTTGCTGCAGCCACAGCAGGTGTTTTTCCGTGGCCAATGGTAAAGTTTTAGTGACCCTGGGGAAACTTCTTTTTATTTCTTTTATCCTGTAATAGTACTTATCTTGTATGCATTTAACTTGTGTTAGCACTGAATAACATTTTCTTACACCTCCTTGTGACTTACTAGAAATAAAACTTGTTTCCAGTGGAATAAATACATTTGTATGGTTGCATTCATGCCCAAAGTGGATTCCTCCATGGCATGTAAATAACTGGTGTCTGATTTTGGTTAGTAGTTTTGAGGGGGTTTGTTTGGTTTTTTTGCTCTGTTGTCTTAACGAAAAAAGTGACTGTTGTAATTGACCCATTTAAAAATAAGGCAAATCCTAAGTAAAAGAGTTCCTGCAAAAAGGTGTACGTTCCTGCCTTTCTTGTCTTTATATTTGTGTAAGTTAAGCATCATAGACACCCATTTTGTTAGTTTTAAGTTTTTGCAGAAGTTCACTGACTTGGAAGGTTTTGTGTGTATAATTCTGGTTTTATGTCCTAGAAACCAACAGAATTTTCTGTCTTGGAAAGTGAAAGAAAGAAGACAAAGGGCAGGAGAGCAAAAAGGAAAAAAGGAGAATTTCCAGATGTAGATAGAGAAATTGAATCCATGTTACTTAAGAAAGGTGAGAAGCTATTTTTGGTATGTTACTCCAAACAAAGAGATAGTATTAGATCTTGTAATCTGTTACCAGAGAAGTATTTTCTGATGTGCAGAGAAGTGACCCCAGGCAGTTTTTAAGAGAAATTTAGCCTTAATGTTGTACTAAAATAATACTGCAATCCTGTGTCTACTACTATAAAATAATATTACACTGTGTGCTTGGCTGTTTGTTTAGGCTGAGTACGTTTTGTTCAGTATTAGCAAATACATTTACGCCATGGCTAAATTTGTGTCTTCTCTTCTTTAACAGTGAGAAATAAGGGGTCAGAGCTTTACCACCCTTCAGTGAAGTTTGAGGATGTAGGAGGCAATGATGAAACATTAAAGGTTAGTTAAAATTCTGTTGGTGGGCTACAGGATGCACTGAATAAAATGTGTCATGAAAAATGACAAGAAATACTGCAGAGTTCTGCAATGGCATGAGTATGCATCTGCATGGCACTGAGTAAAGCTGCTTATACCAACAGGCAAGGTTGTTGGCTTTTCTCTAATTAATCTTTCTGTAAGCAGTCATTGAATTCAGATTGTTTAACAGAACTTGTTTTATTTAGCCCTGTCTATAAGCATAGCAAATACTAATTTCTTCAATTTAAATGGAGATTTCTTTTGTTCTTAACAGGAAATATGCAAGATGCTCCTTCACATCCGTCATCCTGAGGTCTACACCCACTTAGGAGTGGTTCCACCTCGGGGCTTTCTTTTGCATGGGCCACCAGGATGTGGGAAGACACTGCTGGCACAGGCAATTGCTGGGGTGAGATGGCTTCACATTTACAGCTTCTTCCTTTTCTGAGTTACTTTTAGAGGGACAGAGAATAATATTCTGTCAGAAGAGACTAGAGCTTTTCATTTTAACCATCCTATGATAGTCTGAAATGTTAATCTTTACTTCCTTTGTTTGTATTCTGTCTGAATCTTTGCTTGATAGAACCTCATACATAAAGAGTCATGTTGACAAGGTTTTATCTGTAATTTAACTGTTTTGAGGCACTCCCAGAACAGAGCAATACAGGCACAGGTGTTTTAAGAAGGGTATAAATGAAAGATAATTTTGGTTAAATTTACCATACTGTTTCTGATCTAGGCTCAACCTTACCACCTTTTATGAGGCATTACATTGATTCTGTTGGTTATTAAACAGCTGATTTCTGAACTGGATCTTGCCTTGCCTGTGTCATACTAATGTTTTCAGAGCATATGACACTACTGGTCATAATAGTTTGGGGTGAAATTGAAGCTACTGTGCTACTATTCTGTTTTGGATATAAATCTAAGGACTTTAAAGGGCTCTCAGTGATAACTGTGGACATTTCTTTTTCTTTAATACAGTTGCTCTTTAAATATTACTGATTATAACCTTAAAGTTAGATGCACATAAATTACTGACTTTTGTAGTGCAGATAAATAAAAGATATTTATTCCTGAAATGCTGGTTACACGCTTCTGACATTGTTTCAGATGTTTTAATTAAGAAGATTTAGATGTTTTCTTTGTAATATTAGAATATCTTTCTTATTGTAACATAGAACCCTTTGAATAATTTGATGATATTTAATGCTTCAGTAAGTATCTGTGTGCTGGAAAGGTACTACATTTGAGGAAAGAAACATGTCACAAGTGAAAAACTTGGAGATTAAATAAATTTAATGACTGCTTCTTAAATATTTTTTTTACATAAGAGAATTTTCAGTAGTGCTCTTTTAGGCAAATTACTTTCTTTGGGCACCATAGGGTCCCTGGTAGCCTTGAGTTGCATAACTTAGGGTTCATTTTCTTTTATATGTTAAATTTGGGATAGTTTTCTTTTATATGTATTTCCAAGACCTTGGAATAGGCTGCAACAACCTGTAGCACTATTGTGCTACAGTTTATTAAAATTGCAGTTGTGATATAGCAGAAAACATCGAGTGTGAGGTTTGCAAATATCTTGCTGTACAATCCTGCACAGATATTTCTTGAACAGGACTCTGGGAGCCAAACCTGCTGGGGAATACCTTCCACACTGCTAAGCAATGCTTTGTTACCCATTTTAAGTTGGAGGATGATCCTTATCTTTTTTACCAATTCCTAAAGATTTTGTCTTGAGTATGTAATTTGTAGGTCATACTGAAAAATGTTCGTCCTCAAGGACAGCCAGCTTTTCTAATCTCTGGATATATCATAAAATATTCCTTGTTTCCTCCAGGAGCTGGAGCTCCCAATGCTGAAGGTGGCAGCAACAGAGATTGTGTCTGGAGTGTCAGGGGAATCTGAGCAGAAACTGAGAGAACTGTTCGAGCAGGCTGTGGTAAGACACCCACTGAAAATAGCTCTGTGAATTGTTTGTCTTTTTCTTTATAAAGATCCATACCATTGCTGTGGTTTGAATTAAATGTGAGTGAATCTTTATCCTGCTACACACGACTTGTCCCCCCTTCTGTGACCAGAATTCCATTGTACTGTCATGATCTCACAGAGCACAAAGCTTACTATTCTGAAGCCTTGACAAAAGATGGTTCATCATAGCAATGTAAAGAGAGCAACATAAATTATTTACATATTTGGATCTGCTCGGCTTGATATGTAAAAAAAAAAAAAATATTAAGAGCCATTCATTGTGCTTTTTTGTGACAACGGGTTTTTACTAGTTTTGTATGGCATGGAATTTGAGTGAATTGAGAGATTTTAGGCTGTGGCAGTCTAGGCAGAAAGCAGGAAATTTGGAACAAGCATAAGAGGAGGAGAAAAGTTAAAGTTGGAGTCTTGCTTTGGTGTGACTTCTGGATGTAGTAGGAAGCAAAGAGAACAAGACAGGTTGAGATAATTTTAAGAAATGCGGATGTTTCTGGTTTTTAGTATGAGGCTGATGTTTTATTTCATGAGGCCGGTCTTCTGTTCCTGACCTGAGAATGTTCTGGTTTTCTGACTTTATTTCATTTTTCTATTCTCCCCCTAAACTGTTTGTAGGTACTTAAAGTATGCCCCTAAACAGGGCAAAAAGGTTGTTTGCAAAGCTGTTTGTTATGTTTCCTGTTCATACTAAATTTTAATTTTTAGAGAGCCTTATTAAGAAGTTGTTTAAAATAAAATTACATAGGTTATGACAAGGAGTTTTTAGAAATTATGCATGTTTTGTATGTGTAGTGATCAAGGGGAGGTTGCTGTAAATTACTGTTACAGAAATAACATATTTTGCATAAAATACGTAATAAAATACATAAAATCTCTTGCCTTTCTGATAGTCTCCTACATTCCCTTAGGTAGTTTCCGCAGCAGTTTTTGTGCAGGGGGAAAGCCGGTAATAAAGATTACTCATGATTTGTGTGCCGTGGGATGTGCCCGGCCTTTCCCCCTCGGTCCCAGCGGAAGGGGATGACCACGAGATGGCGCAGCCGGAGCTGGGAGCACCCAGTGCTGCTGGGGAGCCGCCGGGCTTTTTACCTGGGGCTTCTTTGGAGCAAGACTCCGCTGTTTTCCTTAAGTATTGCTTTGCACAACTTGTGCTTTTCGGGAATATTGATGATCTTACATCAGCTAAGCACCGTTATATTAGTTACACTAATTATTGATCCGTATTATTATTGGATTTTAATGAAGTTCATGGAAGTTTAGAACACTTTTGTGAGTTTCTTACTGCTCATTTTTACTCTTTGAATGTGGTCGGGCTCTGTAGTAGTCTTGAAGTTCCATGACCACCTACTGCTCTTGTTTCTTTCTGTGTGGCAATAATGCTACTTTTGAAATTCCACAGCTCTAATGTCACTAACAAAACAAACAATAAACCTAACCAGACCTTTCTTGTGTGCTTGTCATTTATGGACTTCAGCAGGCAGTCACAATGAAATATTTAGGGAAAACATAAGGCAACACAGAGGTATATTTAAATTTATACACTGTTTGGAGACTGTCTAAAATTTAATATCTCATGCCTTAATAATTCCATAGCTTCAGATCAGTGAAGTTTCATAGTCTGTTTGCTCTCCAGATTGTCAGCAAGAACAGCAGAATTATTCCAGGACTTGATTGTACAGCAGATTTACAGTAAGAGTTAGAGATCAGAAAACCTGAAACATCTCTTTCTTGTAATACACTCTGTCAGTGTGATTTTGTAATTATGAATCTTCCCTGTTCCTTAGTCCAGTGCTCCCTGTGTCCTTTTCATTGACGAGATCGATGCGATCACCCCAAAGAGAGAAGTCGCATCCAAGGACATGGAGCGGAGGATTGTAGCTCAGTTCCTCACTTGTATGGATGGTGAGTTTCAGGAACAGCTGTGCTAAAAACAGATTATAATTATCAGGCTCACTGTCTGCTTCCTTTCAGTAGTGACTTGTACTTACTTTAGAGGAGATAGTGGCAATAATTTTTCTTATTTTGACTCAGTTTGCCTGGGCAATGGTGGGAAGACCATAATAAATTTGAAGGGGTGTTACTACAATATTTTGACAGTGGTCTGTACAGCATTATATAAGCCTGTCTGTTGTAGAAACAGAAATAATGGGGAATCTGTTAAATTTATTAATAATTAATTAATCTGTTAATTTTAAAATTTTTTCTTGATTGTGCAAAATTCAAGTTTTAGGTAGTAGAGACAGAGACGAACAGCAGTTCAGTCGGACTGAGTAGTTTATCTCTGCTGACTACTATAATGTGCTGCAGAAACAGCGTCCCACAGATATGGGAACAAAGTTTGGACAGTGAATATGTGTACTGACTTCCTTCCTTATTTCCCTTAGACCTGAATAATGTGGCTGCCACTACCCAGGTCCTTGTTATTGGAGCGACAAACAGACCTGACTCCCTGGACCCTGCACTGAGGAGAGCTGGGAGATTTGACAGAGAAATTTGTTTAGGGATCCCAGATGAAGGGGCAAGAGAGAAGTATGTGTTGTGCAGTTAAACTTTCTTTTTGATACATTGACAAATAAGAAAATAATGTGCAAGTTGACTTACAAATTAAGGAAAAGTACTTTGGTGTGCTTAGTTCTGTTTGTACCTGTACACACCTGTGGGTCAGCACACACTGAAAAGTTGCAGAAGACATTAAGTGAGCACCTATCTTGGTAGCTCTGCCTACGTGTGGAGTAATTTCCATTCTTATGTGCAGATCTCCTTTTAACGTTATGTTAATAACTTTCCTAGTGCCTTAACAGTACAGATGATGTAATTTTTTTATTAATTTTTTTATTATTTAAGACATAACGTGTCTTTCCTCATGTTCAGGAAGTTAACATTCTGTCTTTGGTGCTTCCAATGTAGTTATTAAATTAGGAATGTAAATTACGTAAAGCCTGTTTGTACCTTAAGCAGCAGGCCTGGATTCTTCCATTCCTTTCCTCATGGAAATGCACCAGTCCAGGCATTAAGCTGAGATGCAGTCATCCTGTGTTGTGTAACTGTCCTTTTTTACTCCAAAGATCTATGACTATCAGACTAAGTTGAAAGAAATAAATCCATTTTTGCATTTTTAATTAAAAAGGAACTGCTACACATTTTCTCAACAGCAAAAAACACAGGAAGGGAAGTCTGAAAAATTTACAGCTTATCTTGTTATGGAAAGGAAAGAAAGGTTAAAGGATAAGTTTCTTGGTTTCAAATAATAATATTTTCAGGTTGAAGAGGCAAACACAGTGGCCTGCAGTATTACCCACTTTGTGTTGTCAGCACTCAGGCCTTTATTCCCACTGGGTTATTTTTTTTTTTTTTTTTCTCTTCCCTTTCTTTTTCCTCCAGATTTACTGCCCTGTACTAACTGCGTTCCTCTTGGCTGTGGGCAAGACATGCAGGTGGTTAGAGGCAGAACTAATGGGTACCTGAGGAGATTGTGATTCTCTGATAGTTCCTAGGAGCATGGTAAAATGTTGATATTCCCAAAAATAGCATGGAGAGGAGTTGTGGATGGCAGAGCCATCGTGGTGTGTAGAGATCATTCACAGGTTTGAGTGGAGTCACAGGCATTCATGGTGTTGTTTGTTTGTATTTTTGTTCCTGGAGGTGTAGGTTTCCAGGGACTGATGATTTTCTTTTTAAATTCTTCCCTCCTCCTGCTTTCTGTTTTGTTTTTTTTGGAGAGCATGGTGGTGTTGATTTGTTCCTTTATTTTAAAATGAAAGGGTTGCATAGATCTTATAAGTCCTCAAAGTGTGCTGATTTACAGGGTGAGTCTTGCTGAAGGCAAGATTTGAACTGCTGATTTGTGGTTCTGCAGCCTTAAGGGGTGGAGTGAGATAAGAAAGTGTACCTGGAGATCTTGCTTTACCTGTAAAGTGTTTTCTTGTGCAAATTCAGAATGAGCCATGTGTAGTCCTGAACTGTTTACACTTCAACTCAATCGATTAACTGCAGCTCTTGTCAGACAGGTTAAAAAATCTTGAGAAACAGGCTGTTATCCCTAATAAAGATTGAAAAGAGATGACAGAACTTGCTAGTGGGGAGGGAAAAAGATGAAATATATACAACTTTAGAGTTTTGAAGAGTTTAATCACTTGGGTTTTTCATAACTTTTCTATAGTTACGTTATTTGAGCTAGAAATAATTTGAACTAGTTTTTATAGGAATTAGGAGTATGTTACTGATCTGGACTTCTTTGGTTTGTGCTGCCTTTTAAAAATATTTTCCCAATGAAGTTATATTTTGCTGTTGTATTCTTGTATTCTTCTTTCTGTGGTCAGGTAAAGATACTGAAGATTAAACCAGAGCTTCTCACACAGTCTGATTTCATTTGCTTCTTGCCGAACAGCTTGTTGTAAATATTCTTCAATAAATAAATTTCTAAAAAGTGGCATGGAACAGACATTGCAGCCTTAGGTTGTTAGGAGTACAAGGTTAAATTTATCAGAGGATAACTTTTGTGTATCTCCGTGGTACACTGAGATTTACCCTGTCAGATTTTAATATTGGCGTTGAAAGGTGACCTGTAATTCTTAAGTCGTCAAAACTACTGATTAGCAATGCCTGGTTGAGGCTGTTGGGTTTTGTTTAAGAAGTGACAGGAAGTTTATAGCACAGTTCTGTGGGTTTCAGTGGTGGTTACTTCCTACTTGAGCAAAAATTTCCCACTGTGCTATTTCAGTTCATGTGGACTGAAAGAGACATTAAATGCTGTTTGTTTTCATGTGAAGAAAAAAAAACGAACAGCTTTTTTTCCAGTTTATATTTTCTTTTTTTTTTTTTTTCTTCCCGTACTTGATTAGAATTCTTCAGACTTTGTGTCGCAAACTGAAGCTCCCGGAGTCGTTTGAGTTCCGTCATTTGGCACGGCTGACTCCGGGCTATGTGGGGGCTGATCTGATGGCCCTGTGCCGTGAGGCAGCCATGGGCACAGTCAACAGGGTCCTGATAACATCTGGGGAGCACCACACACCTGGGGGGAGCACAGCTGAAGGAAGCCCAGGGGTAGGAGCAGACATCCTGGAGGAAGAGGGCACCAACCAACCACAACTTCCACCTAAGGTATGTGTTCCTTGAAGCGTGTGTTTTTAACATCTGAAGAGTTGTGCCACTTTGCAGTTAGGAAAGTCATTACTCATAAGTTATCAAACATCCATAGCCAACCTAATATTAAATTTAGATGTAGAAATGGCAGCTTGTAAGGCAGGAGCATAACTGCTAATGATCCATATAGTGGGCCTGGAAAAGTAGATCCCAAACCCCAGTCCTCCTAAAAATTATGTTCATGTTTTTATACAAGGTGTGTTTTTTCCCTGGGATTTTTTGTTTTGTGTTGTGTTGTTTTGTCTTCTAACAGAGCAGAGTTTCAAAGAGTGGCTGTACCTCTCTTCAAGAAAAGTGTATTGACTGTAACAGAATTTTATAAGTATCAGACTTGAACTGAGTATTTTGCACCACCTGTTTGCTGTGCCCTCAGTGATATGTCTGTGATGATGCCTAGGGCTCTTCCCTGACCTGGTAGAGTTACAGTAAACCAGTCTAGAAGTATTTATGCAGCCTTTGTTTGCCTTCCAGCTATGTGATGACTTCAAGTAAATCACATGTGTCTAGTACCTGTAGCAGGTTTGAGTAAGAGAGGAGCTGTGAAAATGCAGCACGAGTGGTTCTTTGTTGCAGAAATTAGTATTTCAAGTGCCAGAATTACTCTGGTCTAAGTAACATGAAGGTTAGTGAAGCAGAACAACTTTATATAGAAATCCTTGGTCCTACTTCTCAAAATTCAGAGTCTGTATATGCCTTCATTATGTGCAGGCCTCCTAAAGATTTGTCTGGAGATAAGCAGGCCTAAATGCACATTGTGCTCGGGTTCTGTTTTCAGGAGGGCTGTCACAGAGCAGTGTTGCTGTGATGACAAGAATCAGTATAAAAAGCTGTAGTAAGCCTTTGTATTAGTGTAACATAAGCATAGTGCTTATACCTCCCAGTGCTTCCTGGGGCCTGCTGTAGCCAGAAGAAAGTGGGGAGGGGCAGGTAGTTGCAGCTTTTATCAACATCACCATGATCAAAGGGGTCATTGAGAATGAGGAAGTCTAATCCTAACAAAGCCATGTTTTGATAGCTGGCAGGAGGTTGACATAGTCTAATACAGGGTATTGTCATTAAAACCCTTGTATTATGTTTATAATGGGAAAATAAACATACAAAACCTTTAAAAATCATTCACACAATTAGAGTAAACAAACCCAGTGGTCCTGGCTATTTCAGAGGTTCTCTCAATGGCTCTGTTAAGAGGAGGAGGGAGGACCTAAAAGGAATATCAGGCATTCGAAGCACTTGTATTTCTTTGTATTTCTTGTGATCAGCTGTAGAACTATCCTGTATGAATTTGATAGGAAGTGATACTTTTTCTTTCTACGCCTGTAGGAAAAACATTGAAACTTAACAGAGTTTTTACTTTTTTTTCCCCTCTATTTTATAATGAAAATCCTGATACAGTTTTACTTGTAGTGCAGTACCAGTTTGCTTTGCTGCTGCCTTTTGTATTAGAATGGGAATGCATTTATGTTGTGAAGATCTAAAGTTCTTTGGTGGAATGTGTTCTCAGTTCCCAGTATGGAACTGATTGGAGAAATTGGAATGTGCCTCCCTTGGTCGCTGTGGTCTGCAACATGGGGCAGTGCAGAAAAGCATTACCCTGCATCTCTGTCCTGTTTGCCCAAATTTTTGCAGGGCCTGATTGCAGAACCCAGGTCTAACCAGGCTGAGGAAATGAGTTGT